CACATTGCACATACAAAATCCATGACTCACCCTACAAGCATCTTAGAAGGCCAACTTGGAACATGAAATTCATACGGGGGAACACAGCTGGAGCCTTTAAAAAAAAAAATTATTCTTTAAATAATAAAATTTAAACTGGTTCCATCTCAGTTAAATGTGTATGACTGCTCACTGGATCCATTCCAGCATTCCTCACAGTCACTAATGCAGAATACTCACTAACTAATAACATCTGGATAGAGGATAAAAGAAGAATGTCTTGCAAGAGTCTGGGGACGTGTGCAGGAGAAGTGAGGCTGCAGAGAGATTAGCTGACTCAGAAAAGATGGTGCATGTGATTTTCATTAATGGTTTTGGGAAAGCACCAGTTTCTATAGTTCAAGATATTTCTGTAAACGAAATAGAGAAAAGGAAACGATGCTTTCAATTTTGTGGCTGTAGGGCTGCTAAGACAATTGGGCAAGTCTGAGGAAACCCAAGTAGTGTGTCTCCTTGCAGAATAATATTCCACATAGAGGGGCCTCATTCTATGCTGCTTATACGGGCAGATTTTCAGGGGGCTTGACCAGCAATTTTGCTAGAGCAAAGTAGTATACGTTATATTGCGTGAGAATGGAAAAGACTTTCTGTATTAAGTCATTAAATGATAAACCTTAGATGCTCTGGCATTTCTTTAGCTGCTTAAGCATGCTGTTTTGTAATCACCAGCATTCAAAACCACTATGAAGTCATTAATTATCTTCAAAGTCATGTTCCTGTGGGTAGCATGAGCTGCAAGCCCCAATGAACAGTTTAGCAGACTAGTCTTTTCCATGCCTGTTCTTGCCAAAGGGCTTTGATTCTGATGTAGGTGATTAGTGAGAAGGCACAAGCTCTCCCACAGAACAGATGGGGAAGCACATGGTTGGGAAATTCACACAAGACCTGAACATAAAGCATGGTACTTAATTGAGGGGGGCTTTGAACATCTTAAAAGTGCTGGATGTGTGTCATAACCCTTGGCTACAGAGTCCGTGTCTCTTCCTAGCTAATGAGTTACATTTACTCTAGCAGGAGCAAACTTGAGGCCAGTTACCCACATGGACTAATCCAGCTGTCTCTGAGCACCTGGGAGCTCCACACAGTTCTGTTTGTGCCTCATTGTGTGATGTAGCCCCCCTGTGAGAGATGAACTCCTGAGAGATGGTGCCTGTACTCTGCCATGCAGGAGCAGGGTGGGGAAATGGGTGAAACCACAGCCTTCCCTCACAAGCAGCAAAGCACTGTTGTCCTCACTGAATTTATGTCAGTCCCGGAGTGGTGGAGAGTCTGCAAAGCAACATTGAGCAAATGAGTCTATAACCTTTCCTAGCAGCTTTAGGGACAGTACAGCCCACATTACCACTTGCTGTAGGCTAGGTAATAAAACAGTAATTCCATATTTATCGTGCAAGTTGTTCATTAAAAAACTAGTAAGCAGCACTAAAGCCCCATAGGAGAAGCACAGTGGTGCTCCAGGTGAATGCAAGTGATAGACCCAAACCCTGCTTTACTGTAAATATCCTTGCAATAAAAAGTTTACCTCTGCATAAATGCCTTTTAACAATATTTGCTTTAAAAGCAGCATCAAGCAATTAAAAATATTAATGAGTTCAAAATTAAATCTTCATTACTCATTATCCAGGGGAGTACTGTGAAACAATAGGATGAAAACAACCTTGAAACCATGCAGACCTTAGGTTTTTTACAGATAGTTGTAGTCTTCCTTTGTTCCCGTGCCTTTGTTCTTTCAGTAGGCAGTTGAACACTGTAACTTTCAACTTCCTCAGCAGTACAGTACAGTAATGACCTTGAAACAGCCAACTGTACTGAATTTTATACAGGAGTTTCCCTTATAAAATATTTCCAGTTCCACAGTAATTAATGCAATATTAATTGGCAGGTATTTGGGCTGTTTCTTTCTAAATGACTCCAGAAACTACTTAAATGTAGTGACATGCAGCAGTCTCTGAATATGGGCCAGTCAATAACTCAACAATACTCTGGAGCATAACCGAAAACAGATTGCTTCCCGTTTTCAATTCATTTCTGGGTCAATTGGAAGTGGAAAGTTTGCTATGTCAATCTGAATCAAATTCATCCTTGACATACAAGCAGTTGGATTTGACTGTTTCCTTATCTTGTATCTACCTCCTTCTTTCTGAAATACGTCATACTGATGAAGCCACGACTAAGCTAGTAAACTGACCAGAGTAATTTGCTCGATCAAGGACCATCTGCACTTGGGCTTTCTGTGAATGCATCATCTTTCACTTAAACTGTCCAGTGCTCTCTTTCCTGGATTGCCTGGAGCTGTCTGGGTTTGCAAGTTGTGATCCAGACATCAAAGTCATAACTGATTTCCACATTTTCTGCTGACTACTTTCAGGCAGGATTTTCATACCAGTATCAACCATCCCTTCAAGCTAGAAAGTTTTCTGATTCATGAACAGGTCAAACAACTCGGTACTGCTGACTATGCTGTTCTAAGCAAAAGTTCTTATGTTTCCTAAAGTTACTTCCTTTGCTTCCATTCCTTTTAATAACACATCCAGTATATATAAAACTTGGGAATTAGCTTTGTAGAGCAATCCAGTGGACCGAACTCAGATTTAGATAGGGTAACTGGACATTGGCAGCATATCTGGGGTATTCGGGAATGCCTGGTAGGTGTGTGGGGAAGAGTATGAAACAATGTCTTGGTTTTCTTTAATTCAATCAGGATTTTTGTGATCAAGTCTTAGATTTATTTTTTTTAATGCTGATTTTTTCAAGGTATAAATAGGATATAGTTGGGAGAAGCTCCAGGAGAGAATATTAAGTGTTATAGGTATGATCACAGCCTGCATCTTGTAAAGATCGCAGTAGATAAGAATTTAAGGCTGAACAGAATCTTCAGGATGCATTAGTATGGAAAAGAGTGAATTTGCTGATGCTTGTAACCACTTTACTCAGGGATTCATGGGAAAAACATAAAAGGGCTTGTTTGAAAATTTATCAAATAGTTGATGAAGGTTGGTATTCTGGTTTTGCCGACGGTAGAAATCATCCTCCCTTCAAAAGGTATGAAGAACTTTGACAATAAGGACAAATAGCTTATGTTTGCTGCATCTTGCTTTCTTTTTTCCCCTCCCTTGGTTTCAAAACGTCAGTACGCCACTTTTTGGGGTGAAATAACAATACCTTTGAGAGAACAATTACTACTTCATGGAAAGCTTTCTTTGGTATGGGAAAAAGGCATCTGTTGAAAATAACGCTCAAAATCAAAACAAATCCCCTGCTGTATATTCTGAAAGAGAGTGATGGAAGAACCAGTCGACATTTCCATTTCAGCTCCGTCCTAGAAACCGTAAGAATCTTCTATGGGTCGATTATAGCTGCTGGTGGCTGCCAGACTTTGCTGTCTTTTCTTTCCGTTGAAGAAACTTTCTAATATGGAGTCATTGTGAGGAAGTAATAGGCATGAAATGGACAGTGACAAGTCCTCAAGTCCAGCATGGGATAAAACCAGGACGATTTAGGAAAGAGTTGGAAAGAAGCTGCTTTACTTAATTCTCTTCCCAGCTGCATAAGGCAGTTGAAAAGACACAGGGTAGAAGAAATGTCAGCTTCTGTTATTATTGTCTATGAAACTGATATGTTGTCTTTTTAACAGCATATAATTTGGGGTGTTTCTATGGGGTTTTTTGCCTTTTTTTAAACTACATTAAAAAAAGAATTTAATGACAAGGGCATTTAAAAATTTGTTAATGTGTTTCTTTTAAAAAAAGTGTTCAATCCTCTCCTACATGAATCTTTTGATACTATGTCCTTCTCATTCAAAGATGTCTGCATCTTTTTTATTGCATCCCTTAGCTTCTCCCAGAGAAGAAGTTATTAGTGACCACGAAGACTCTCAACACCTCAAAACATTAAACTTGGTGAAACCATCTTAAACAGAATGTTACCGGATGCATTTGAAAACACCAGCTTTTATTTTTGGAAAAGTTCTTGTTCAATTTGAAAGTTTTCCCAGAATAAAACTGAAAAGGACTTAATCTCAGAATTGCAACAATTCTATTCTTTGTTGCCTGACCCAGATTCTTTCATCATTTCATCTGGTATTCATATTTGTTTTTACCATGACATGCATGGCTGCCTGTATCAGTTCAGCAACTAAGAAAAAGGAGAGCACTGTTTGCCTTGTACTTACGTAACATGCACTGCAAACTCATTATCAATTTAAAACAAAGATACAAACTGTAACAGCGAGATTATTTTCTACTCAAGCCAAATGTATGATTCCCCTTCTCATAGTTCATTCTAAACCTTCTCTTGGGACAGCAGTCTCAGGATAAGTGGTTATGTTGTTAAGGATGATTTCCTAGTAGCATTAGACAACTCTCTAAACTGTGGTTTACAGAGCCTGCAAGGCCTAACAACTCTGACACGACAGAGCATATTCTGAAATAATTTCCTCAGATTCACTGTCATTACATACATGGTCACAGTGACTTGTTGAACACCTGTATGATTACTCTTTTGAGACTTGTTCATGTGAAACCTTACAGGGAACAATCCTTTATAATCCGACATTAGCAAACCATTATCAGAACCAAAATTTCCTTTCTTTGGGAACCCATACAAGTAACAACACCTGAGCTGAAAAACTATGCAAGTGAAAATTACCCAACTGCTGATAGAGCTGGCTAACATTTACCTGTGCTACCCTAAAGATGGTTGCCAGGGAGGAAGCCAAACCAAAGCAGTCATTAGAGCATGGAGCTGTAGCTGCCAATTCGAGACACAGCAGAGCACCGAACAGCATAGCCCATCCCTTGTGCCAGCTGGTCCTTCACCACTCCAGCCACAATTCAGTTCTCTAAGCCAGGTCTCAGTTACCACTGATGTGACAGGATCTTTGCACATTGCTTTTATTAGGAAATAGGATTTCAACTTCTAGCATGCATTTTCTAATATTATGTTCTTTTTGACTCCTTCAGCTACCAACAGGAGGTCCACAGAAATTTCCTGCCCTCCAAAGTCCATTTCTGAAGTAGAGTTATCAAAAAAGAAAAGCATTAAGAAGACTAAAGGTGGAATTAAGGTAGGAGTATCTGTGTTTTGGGGACATCCCATATTGTGAGAGAACTCAAACCAATATAAATACAGATTTACATATTTATACTTGGAATTAAAAAATTGAACATTTGTAAGTTAATTCTCTGGTAAGCTTTTTTTTTACACTTTGTGTTGCAGTTTGAAAGTTACTCAGATGACAGCGTTAAAAAAGATTTATGCTCATGTACATGGAAAAAAAAGTTACACTAAAGTAGAAATCACTTTCAAAGGGTGAAAGGGGAAATGTGGAAGGAATGTCCAACAATCATACATTAAAGTGCATCCAAAGTGCCCATCCTTCTTTATAGCAAATGGACTATTTTGTTTCTAAAACTGGAATCTTATTCCAGCTCCTCTGAAGTTAAGATGTGTTATATTCAGGGTTTTACAAAAGTTACGTATTTTTCCTGATTTAAATATTTTCTAAGGGTAGTTTCTACACAAAGGAGGAAAGACCAGACATTTAATACTTAAAAATAAACCAACTAACAAACCAATGAAAAATTCCACTGTTACCTGTTGCTGCATGGGCAAGTAAGGTTCAGGGAAATGTATTTTGCTTTTGTGTCTCTATGAGATTTGTTGCATTATCGTTTCTGCACCAAGATTGTCTAGGACCCTTTGGACATCCTTATCCTTTCCTCTCTATTCCCAAGCCTTACAGCATTTAAGAGCCCTGCCCTTACAGCACAGAGTCTTTTGTTTGAGCTATAGAGACTGACTGGGATAATGAGCTATCAAGACAGCCGTTTGACCATCCTTGAGTATTTTAAGACTGGAAACAGAAGGATCCAGAAACTTCACTCACCTGCAATTCCTGTAACTAAGATGGAAATGCAGCTGCATCCTGAAACTTTTCATTTGCCTAAGCTAGCTGAAATAGCCACTTTCAGAGACCAGACTTCTTTTTTTCCCCTGGCAAATTCAAGTAATGCCACATTTGTCTTATTTAAAATGTTTGGGTTTAGACCATGTAAATATCCCTGTGAAAAAGACAGGAGGAATACCGCTGAAGTTGTGTTCTGAATGGTCTGTGCACAAATGTTTTGTAACTTTGCCAGCATCCCCTTTAGTTACAAGTTTACCAAAAATAAGACAAAAATCAAAACATATGCAGTACCATTCACTCACAACCTTCTAAATAACAACATCCTTTTGCCATAATTTTCTTGCATCTTCTGTGCATTAAGATTCATATTATTAGCTTTTTAGGGCAGCATATCATTAGAATGGTAAAAATGCAATTTAAGGTATGTTTTGAGAAAGAAAAAAATAAGAGAGGGCCCTGACTGTGTTGAGGGAAATAATACAACTATATATTCAGAAAAGAATAGCAGAAGAAGTTGGGTATTGTGGGAGAGAGGTATGATCTTAATTTGGCTGCCTCATGAAAGTGTGATGAAAACAGTAAGTAGCCTATTTCGCACTGTTCAGCACTTTGGGGGCAGAAGAGGAAGGAGGGAATAAGCTTTGTCAGTACATCTCTAAGGGAAAGAAATACCCCAACCCAGAACAGATTATATACCAGGGAAAGGAGATGACACACTAGCCCCTGCAGTTGCAGTTGTTAACTTTTTCATAGTTCATTAGTTATTTTAAAGGTGATTTTTAAAGGTGAGCTCTATATGAGGACATAGCCAGTAACAGAGATCACATTTTATGATAAAAGTTTTCTGGGTGTTTTCCAGTTTAGTCCATTATTACTGAAGGTATTCTTAAAATAAGCATTTTGGACTTTATAATTTTTCATGAGTAATTCACAGAACAAACCCCTTACATTAGCACTTCTTACATCTGTAACAGCCACACATGGATGTGCTACTTCGGCCTAAATATCCAAATCCAGTTTAATCCTGTTAGTGCAGAAATTCCATACAGATCAGAAGTAGTTGTTTTGGGGTTGTGTTTGTTGGGTGGTTTTTTTTGGGGGTTGGGGGGGGAAAGGAATGGGAATATTTAGGGGGGAGGAGGGGAAGAATAGTGTTACTCTGAGGCACAAAAAGCTAAAAATGTATCAAGTGTCTACCTGGCACAACTCTATTTTTAAACTTTTGATATAATGCAAGCTACTTCAACCCAACTCTTCTGCTATCCATGCCCCTGACTTGCTCATACATTTGACCTTTATTTCCCTAAAGCTGAAAAGCAAAAATTAAATTCAGTCCATTTTCTGATATGGCCAAAACAGCCTACAACTTCAGCAAGAAGCACTGAATAAAATCCAGTTATCAAAAAAATACAGCTGCTCTCACCTTTGTCTAAACTCATAGAAAGTGACTTTGGAATTAGTCTTATTCTCATCAGTAATGCAGACAATCAGTTGCATTCCTCCCACATAGTCAGGTATATGCAACAACATGGTACAGGATTTATAAAAACATCTATTCATTCATTTTTAAATCTACTTTCCAAGACTACAGTGCAAATTATGCCCCCTCTCCTTCCCTCCCATTATTGCTATAAAATGTTTGTATTTTATTTGTTCTGATAATAGTTCAGGTAAGGATAGTTTATTAATGGAGTCCATCATCATCACCAACCAGCTAAATAATTTAGCTGTATAGAATATAAGACTGGCCACTGCTTTTTTCCCCAGAATCAGCCCTTAAAAATTAAAGTGCTCAGGAACTTAAAGACTCTACTGGAGTTTAGATATTGGCTTGGATCAACTGCAAACTCAGCAGCTGAGTTGTTTTACTGAATTTGAAGAGATTGCATTTGACTAAGCCCAAGTAGTGCTTGGTACTTTCAAAGCTACAGGCGAAAGGAGGAAAAGCCTGCTTAAAATTTGCCTGGAGCACACTTGAAATGATCCAACTCTGCAAGACTGGACAAGGAAGTAGGTTAATGTTTATCAAAATACCATGCAAAAAGCCCCAGTCCATTTCGGCCTGGGGACAGCCCTTGCACATACATGTATACTGTGCTCAGTATTTGAGGGTATGCGCTGTCTTACATAATACTGTTACTAGTACAAAGACACTTCTCAAAGGCACAAGATGGATTCCCTAGACTTTTCCATATGGCACTGTACAAAGAACTCTCAAAATGTGAAGTCTTTGTGTTGGCTTCAGGCAGGAAACAAAAAAACCCAGTATTTCAGAGTCTAAGGAACACACTGTTATGCCTGTAATTATCTACATAAGGAGGTAATTCACCTTCTATGATGGAAGAACATACTTTGCCTGGAGTCAAGAATGCCTTCCATGCCAATACTTAGAGAGAAGAGGTATTCTTGATTTACAACCTGCACATCTACAATTCAATTATTTTTAACTTGTCCAGTGATTTCTAGACTAGGTAAGATCTGGTTTTTATTCTTTTGAAGAGTTAAAGTTCTCTAAATAAAAGCATCAGCAATTAAGTATTTTTACTTTTAATGTGTCCTTTTTATTCAGATTGAGGTGATGCATGAAGCTAGTCAAGGAGGATCTAGCAGAGTCCTGGTGATGAGTGAGAGTGATGAGAACTTGTCAACAAGGAGGAGGTAAGACTGCACACATGAGCCAGTATCATTTTTTTGTTTTAGAATGCAAATAACTATATTTATAGTACAGGCTCTATGACTTCTTTGAAGTTTACTAAGATTAATAAATAATTACATATAATCAAGTCACTGAAATGCTTATAGCTATGCGTTTATACAGTCTATCAGCTGGAGAAGCAAGCAAGATTTGTTTTGGGTTGGGGGTTTTGGGGGTTTTTTTGGCCTTTTTTTTTTTTCTCTTGGAAGCATTAATTACACAAGAAAATAAGTCATTAGAATAAACCTCGCATGTATTTACAAAAAAGCAGTATTAAAGATCATCTCATTGTGTTCAGGATATTCATATTTGACTATATGCCTCTGAGAAGCTTCTGGTTTTTTAAATGCAAGCAATAGTCTTTTCTCCCTTTCTGCAAAGTGTTGTGAAAGAGATTATTAATGATGTATTCTAAAACACCAAATACTTAGGTCATTTAGTTTAAGAAAAAGTACCAAGCAAACCCAGTTTAATTTAGTTGAACTGCACTGTTCCTAGGCCAAAGGGAGCAATTAAAAAAAAAAACAACAAAAACCACACCACCACACACAACCCACCCTGCAACAAGCCAAACCTCACGATCCTCACTGACTTCATTTCCTTTGTTCTCTTCTTCAGTATGATTTAGATAATTTATACTTACATTATGCCTCTCTCTCACACAGGTATATGCTGAAGTTACTTGATGCAAAAGACCACATTTCTAAAAACAGTAGCTTGATACATTATGCTAGACAAATTGGAGACACATACAAAAATGTAACTTAATACTCTCTGAATTTAATTATACCCTATGAAAAGAATATGACTGGTCTCCAAACCATCAGCTAGCTTTCAAAAGGCGCAAAGTGTGATCCGAAATAGAACTTATTTAGATAGATACACATCTTGGGGAATGATTGCATACAGAGAACATGCAAATTTGGAAGTTAATATTAACAACAGGTTAAGCTTCTAATATTTGGCAGCTTTAAACAACTTTAGACCTAGAAGCCTGGTAAAGAAATTTTTGAACTGTCTCCTTTTTTGGGAACACCAAGTTTACCTTTTGTTCCACAAAAGGTTTGGTTCAAGGTAGAACAGAAAGGAAGCAGGGGAAGAGGAGGAAGCAGTTTTAAGTCCTCTCATAAGAGGGGACTCAGTATAGCATTTAAAAGCATCAGAGCTGAGCGTGTCAGTTACAAAGAAGGCAACAAGAATATTTACCACCTTTGTTGTGTTGTTTTGTTTTGTTTTTTAAAAGAAATAAGTCTGTTTATTCAAAACAAGTTTTACAAAACAATTGTCTTTTTGTGGTACAGAGCAAAGTTTAAGAATAAATATTGAATACTTTGTATAAAAATTAGTAATATCAAAGGGAAACTGATGCAAACCAAACAAACAGGTAAAAACTATTTTAGCATTAAATATGCTGTGTGACAATGTCAAACTTTTCATGAGGAGTGACCATTCAGGCTGATACAGTTTTATTTGTAGAAGTAAAACCTGACAGCCCTGCATTGGAGCACCAGGACTATTGCTAAAAAAGGTTCCAGATAAAGGTGTACAAATCTTAAGTTGGTATTTAGAACCAGAAAATAAGAAGTTTTCTAGCTTCTCCGTTTTTTGAAAGGAGTGCCTTCATGCTTTCCTTTTTATTCAACAAGCAACTTCTTTTCACTTCAGCAAAAGAAAATGTATGCTACAAACATCAAGGCCCTTTTAAGATTAAGAAACAATCCAAACAAAACTCAAACCAGCTGTAAAACAAAGTATTTCAATGGTCAAAAGTGACTGTCAGATAATGGCAAACTACATTTAACCAGTGTTTTAGATGTTAGCTAGGTCATTACCCTATAGAAGTTTAAGCTACTTAAAGCTTATTTTAGCTTTGTTTGTATGAGTGAAAACAGTAAATCCCAACACATAGTTATGCTGGAAAAATTGTAGTCTTAATAGTACATTTTGGTTGCATACTGCGTATGAAGACCCTCCTTCCCTACAGTGAACAGGGTGGCTTTTTCTAATAGTGCAGTTTTGCTGTGCAGCTTGTTGATTTAAATGGCTCACAACAGGTGAGAGATCTGATGAAGCAGCTTTCCTTCAGTACGGAATACTACTTTCTCTGTATGTGCATTTATTTCTCTATAAGCCAACAGGTTATATAGATCTAGGGTTGTCTTGTGTTCTGGTTTTATTCTTTTTAAAAACACACATCCTCAGTACTGTAATCAATCTGTTCAGGCAAGAACAGGAACTGGATTTGTTCTTTCTAAAGTATAGCTGTTACATTCTTCAATCATTCTGACACTGATAAATGATTTATTTGTGGGGTCTTTATATACCCAACATTTGGGTCCAGTTAGGATTCTTATTCTTTTCCTTCTGGAAAACCAATTATAGAAAGTTACATATTTCACTTAATTCCAGAAGCTACCTACTATTCATTTGAAATGGCACCTTAGAGAACGGTGAGCAAGCTCACTCCTGGATTCTGTGTACATTAACATATACCATTAGCCAGTCAAATCATTAAAACCTGCAGCACAGCTTCAAGAGCAGTAGCAATTATTTAAACAAAAGTTTACTACTTGTAGCTTAAAACTACCAAGTCCTGTATAGCTGTTCTACAGCAAAGTCAGAAGACACAGATCAAGTACCTCACTGCTCCACACAGCGAGAAACTTCAGGCCAAAGAAGAAGGCTAGTCTTAGAGAGCAAGTAGTATTGCTCCTGAAATTAGCACATTTCCAACAGATGCTTGATAATTTGTGAGCTTTTGCATTGTTAGTGGTCTGCTGATAAACTTGACTCATTCAAGCTTTCAGAAGTATTTCTGACACTATCCACACTAGCACTTGTTCCAGCATCAAATCAGTTCACAAGCAATATCTGACTGTGCCTTGCATGGGCTGAATGTCCGCTCCAGGAAGAGCTACCACAGGTTTGGCAGGTAGCAACTAAAATATCTGTCCTGGGAGTCTGTGAAGACACCATTAGTGAGCTATACAAGAAAAGACTGCAGACATCCTAGAACTTTGGTTCTCTGCAATATTTATATGGCACCACAGTACAACTCATAATGGCTGGAGTTTGAGCATCACTGAGTTTGATCACCTATCCTGATTTACAATCCACAGGTGTTTTGTTCCTCCTGCAGGTGATACTAACATTGAAATACATTCAAGATACAGGGTTTTGTGGACAGAAACTACCCTGAAATTTTAAAGACAATCTTGTGCTTAAGACTTCAGGAGAAATATTTTAGTGATTTTGATTTGTGTACTGAGTTTCTGTGGATCACCATCTCCCTATCCCTTCACTGTGAAGTCAAACTTTGTGCAGAAAATACCCTCCCTCTTTCTACAAGCATGAAATTTTGCTTTTTAAAGTCTTTAACGGCTTCAAATCAACTGTAAGTAACATTCTCAGGGACTTTTGCTTGCTTTTCACCTTTAGACCATGAAGAATGGAAAGCAGAAGCATTGTTAAAAGAAAACTTATTTAGCTTATTTGCTTATTAAAGATTGGACTCTTTAAATACACTGCTTCAGATTTCAGAAGGCAGAGAAAGATTAGCAAAACCAGTTACATGAGTAGTATTTGATTTTTATCCTTTCAAGTTCAGTCCTGATCTAAAGGGGGCTCCTTTGTTACTTAAAACAACGAAGTCAGAGGGCACTCAAACACCGTTTCCTTATTTCAAAGATTTAGGGAGCTTTGAGAAAAAGATTGTAGCAGGTCTTCACTTCTAGAACTCACTGTTCATCAATTGTGCAGGTCCAGACTTACTTTCTATGAAGCATTGAGAAATGGTGAATATTTGTAACCAATGTACACTGCCTTAAACTACTGCAATAGTCTCATTCATCAAGTCAGAAGTCCTATTTTCCTCGTTTTAAAAAGTCTACTCCATTTTTTTAAATCATGTGCCTTAGTTCACATAGCTTTTTTTAAAAAAAAAAAAACTTAAGACTTACTGACAAGTTCAAAGTAACAGACATTTTCACCAGCATTTCAAAGTCAAGTCCATTATAGTTCATTTAATCCAGACTTGCACCCCTTGAAGAGTGGAGGGGGGGGGGGGGGGGGGGGAGGGGGGGGAAAAAAACAGGCTACAATGTAAGTTGCAGTACAATAGGAGAGCTATTCCAATAAGAGTTTCTGAACAGAATTTGGGACCACCTTTCCCTCTCACCCCCAACTATTCACATTTAAATTTTACCTCTTTCCATGTTTACATATATTTTGAATAAACAGCTAAAAAGTTGTTGCTCTGTTTTGGCTCAGTGGATCTTCAATGCAGATATTCAAGTATTAAGAAAATGCAGCTGAACAAGGGTATGTGTCCTCATAGTATAGTTTACAGAGAAGCACAATATTGACTAGTCTGCAGTATATTCTACCCCAAATCCCTGAAGAAAACTTTTTAACTTTGGGATCTGTAGCCTGCTTCCAGAGCTGGTAAAGATCATCTACATGTCCATGAGATGTCATCATTTTGTTATAAATGCAAGGATGATATGGAGCCTTTCCTTCCCCAGAAAAAAATACATGATATTGTGGTACAATTCCCATTTTATTGGCACAGAGACCCATGAAAACATCATCTATATAAAGACTTGTATTGAGAGTCAATGAAGCCTCATATACTTTAGCTGCTACATCATTTGATATTACATATGCAGCTCCTGCTGTGTAGTCAGGATAAGAGGGCCACTGGTACATTTCATATGGAACATAGTATTTGCTACTCTTGTCTCTTACGGGAGGGGATCCACGATGGACACGACCAATCCAGAGATCTTGAGCACCCATTTGTGCCAGACTTTGGAGATAAGCAACAAGATTTGGCATGTGGATAAATATATCATCATCTGCAGACATAATGAACCTGGCATGAGGACAGTAGGCATTCACCCAGCTAAACTGCAAAAGCAATTTAAGAGTAAGATTGTGAAAAGTATCCAAGAAGTCTTGCTGAATCA